AACTATCCTGTGTGCGTGTGGGAATTCTGACCACTTTTTCCAAATGAGAGATTTTTTTGTATGCATACCAGTTTACCAATACCCTGACCGTTATTCATAATAAACAAACATTCTCGTCCAAGCACCGCCTTGTGGAATTATAATTAATAATAATAATAATAACACCAATACTTTCTCTGTTCAGATATATATTATTCTATTCGTTTTATTTCTTCCAACAAACAAACTCTTCCTACGTCCCAGTACCAAGCGATCAGCCAATTAACGTGAACCGCTCAAGAAGATTCTAATGGAGTTCGTTCTATCGACTAACACTGCTCAATCTTATGGTGCGCTCGTTTGATCACGTGATCGAACGTGAAAAGAAATCTGACCACCAATGCCGATGAACTTAGGCATTTCCGGTGACACGTACCGTATACACTTCATTGTGCATCACTGCTAAATCAAATCACTTAGCATCAGTTTTGGCGTGGATTGCTAGCCACATGTGTGATTTTTTACCAAAATAAAACTTTTCATCATTTTGCCTTAATGATTGACCGGGATGTGACTTTTTTCTGCGTTGGTGGTTTTTCTTCTTGCTACCTGTTTTTCTCACTTGATTGCAACACCGTTAATTGCATTGTATGACAGAAACAGGAAGCATTCACTAAATTTGAACTGTGCCGTTACTCGCACTTAAAACACAATTTCCGGCGAAAAATTGCTCTCAATAACTCTTGATCACCCCGTACGTGTCACAGCTTCTGGACTACAAACAATAGGTGGATTGTATTAGTCAATCAGAAACCGTGCGGTTAAGACAGAAGCTGAACAACACGAGAAATTCTAGCACGTGATTGGCTGAGGTTTTAATGACCAATGAATTTGTTTTCTACCTATTATTTAAATGCGATAATTCCTTTCAATAAATTTTCCGTGTGGCCTTTTCCTCGCTTCTCGGTTACGTGGGATATTGCGTGCAAGTACCAGTGTGATCCACTGCTTACGTCTCGTCCGTGATTCGTATTCCGGAGATCAGTGCGTACTACAATTGCTATAACTAATACGCCAATCTATGCTTGTTTTCAACTACCAGAAATGTGTAACATCCATGCTGTTGGTTGTTGTCCAGTTCGTTTTGTTTGTCATCATCCTTCCGAATGTCCCATTGTAGTTTCTCTTCTCAATTACGTTGCTAACCGCCCTCCCCCCTCCCTCGCTAAATTTTCTTTCATTATTTGTCCTCTAGCGTGGCTCTGGTCACACCGATCGAACCCACCGCGTTCTACAATATCAAACAATCCGAACAGATCGATGTGGCACCGACTGTCGGTGGTGGATTTGCAATCAACAAGAGTACGTGGTGGTACCGGTTTGTGATGTTCACATTTCGCACGTGTTGATACTACTACTATTACTGCTACTTGTATTACTAATACTAATACTGTTGTTCTCTTGTGAATGTTAATGTTATAATGTTAATAATACAGCGATGTCGGTAGAGAATTATATTCGCCGACGTTTCGGTTACCGTGGCTAACCTTTCTCAAGGCAGGTTTTACAATCAAATGACTCAGAGGAAAGAATCACAAGCTAACGGATATTTCATCGTGTGCGTGTGTCTGTGTGTGTGTATGTGGTGGACTGAGTGCTTCGTGATTGAAGACAAAAAGGTTAATGCAACTCTCAACAAAACAAAAGCTCGCACAAACAAATACTTATCAAGCTTGGAAGACAAACTCGGTAAACCACTGTGGTTTTTATTGGCACCCAAAACGAATATACCGGGAAGATTTTACGGTTTACCAAAAATGCATAAACCGGATATACCCATTCGCCCCATTGTGGACTACACACCGTGTGGAACTTATAAATTAGCAAAATATCTCAGTGATCTCTTAAGACCGTATCAAAAAACAGTGGTAAGTCACATCAATGATGCATTTGAGTTCACCCGTATTTTGCAAAACATTGAACTTGAAAATGACGGGGTTGCCGTCAGTTTTGATGTAGTTTCTCTGTACACAAGTGTTCCCATAAAAGAGACTTTAGATTTTCTATATTGTTTGCTGACATCTGATGCCACACTAGGAGATTGAACTTCTTTAAACACATGATAAATTATTACTGGTGTAGAAATTTGTCTAATGTCAACTTTATTTACTTTCAAACACGATTTGTACAGATAAACCAATGGTGTTGCCATGGGATCTCCCGTCTCTCCCATTGTAGCCAACCTCTTCTTACATTCAATAGAATCAAATGCACTCTCCAGTTTTCACATGCCACCACGTTTGTATGTAAGATACGTAGACGATACTTTTGTCATCATTAAGTCACAACACACACATGCGTTTCGCGATTGTCTCAACAAACAGTGCAACTCCAGCAATTTCAAAATGGAGTCAAAGGATATGAACAGAGTCATCCCTTTTCTAGACTGTCACCTCAGAATGAACGACTCACGCAAATTCATCACCAACGTTCATAGAAAACCGACACATTCGGATAATATTTTACATTTTGAATCAGCTCATCCACAGTGTGTAAAACGGACCCTTATCTCCTCTCTGGCTGACCGAATCAAAAAGCTCTGTAATGAAGACAATAACCGCCAAATGGAAATGAAACGCCTCAAAAAAGTGCTAAAAGACAATTATTATCCGCCACTCCTGGTAAGACCACAGTTGGAGGCCAACAAACCAATGATACAACCCAATGACAGAAAAGACCGTGTAGCCTCTATTGGCATTCCATATAGAAGCAATCAGAAAGATTCTCGGCAATTTCAACATACAAACACTCTTTCGAGTTGAAAACACTCTGAAACGCCATCTTGTGAAATCTAAAGATCCGGTCGAATTGCAAGATCAAAACAACTGCATTTACAGAATCAGTTGTAAAGATTGCCCCGCAGAATACAGTAGGCAAACCAGCAGACAACTTAAGACAAGAATAACCGTACACAAGAGAAAAGAAAAACATCGAACGGCGGACCAAGCAACTCTGGCAAAACTAGAACGAGACTCAGCGATCGCTCTTCACGCCATAGCCGAAGGTCACACCATAGACTACGACAACCCGGAAATACTCTAACTCGGATTACGAACATGCACTGAACGCTCGTATGCCGAAGCTTTAGCCATTACCAACCACTGCATGTGTCAATAGAAATGACGGAATCGATATCCCGAGCATTTGGACTATCTTAACATCCCTAACGCGCAATCACGACAAAGGTCACGGTGTCACTTGACCCCATCTGATAATGGGAGTTAGTATGACGGACAACGAATCACTCAGTCCACCACATACACACACACAGACACACGCACACGACGAAATATCCGTTAGCTTGTGATCCTTTCCTCTGAGTCATTTGATTGTAAAATCTGCCTTGAGAAAGGTTAGCCACGGTAACCGAAACGTCGGCGAATATAATTCTCTACCGATATCGCTGTATTATTAACACTATAACATTAGAACACAAGTCCGAAGGCGATGATGACCAAGAATGGCACTTCCTATGCTTCCTGTTCCTCCTTGTTTTAACCAACGTGGGCAGTGCTCCTTCATCCGTTGTGATAGTTGCCTCGCCGTGCGGCCAATGTACGTTGCATTACAAACGCACCGGAAAGAGTAGATAACCATGGAAGTGGCCAGCGTAGGCAGTCTATCTTTGTGGCTAGTTCGGATGATGGGCGAGCCTGTGAACACACACGATAAACGAGCTGCGTTGTAGGTCCGTTTCACTGTACGTGTTAGACGTTTGTTCAAGAGGTCTGATATAGCATCTCCTTGAAAAGCTAGACGAATGAATAGCTCTTTACTTTTGGGCCTCATGAACTTGTTCGGATTGTCGCCTTTCCTGAAAGTTTCTCTCAATGAACCGTTCAGGATAACCATTTTCTCTGAGGACTTCCTTAATTTTTTTTCAATTTTTTTTACCTCTCCCTTCTCCTCTCCTCATCCCAAATGACCCTTTGACCCAGCGTGAAAATGTGTCCCCACTAACAACAAACCCTCATATGATCTGCACGGGCACGATTATGAATCATTCGAAAACAATTGTTCGCCTTCGGACTTAAGTTCTGATGTTACAATGGGATTATTTCGGAATTTGAAACTATAACATTAACATTCACAATAAAACAACACATGGCGCATCGATTTTTCGATACACTCCTAACGTCATTTGGTCATGATGTTGTCCTCTTTTTATGCATTATTTGTGTGGGGCGGTAACCAATCCGATCGCGGTTAATATATCTGAATTCGAAGGAAAACACACGAGGACAAAAAACCTCGTTTTACGGGTAGCTACTATTGAATGCCAATTTTGTGTATATAATCCTAAGAGCAAGGTTCATGGTTGCGTGCGTTGCGGGCTATTGTACTGCTCGGTCCAGAGTAGGCCTTGTTCGAGGAAGCACCACTCTAGACTTTGCGCAACCAAGCGCGAACTGCAAGGCAGCAGTAATGTTCCAGATGAACCGGTGATCAGTCTTCGATTCATTTACAAATTTTTCGAGCAATGGATCCGGACAAGGAGCAATAGCCATACTTAGTGGCTTGGCCAAACTCGCCACATCATACTCACATTGTCCACAGATATATGTGATGTTTTGTACGGAGTACTCTGGCCAGGAGTTGAACTCACCACATCCTTGAACGCTGCCGCTGATCGTCTGCAACCGCTTATTCGGCGGGCCGAAGCCCAGGTTGGATAGGACCAAGACGTGTAACAGAAGCCTGAGAGAAATCTGCCTGCT